CTGGCCATTGGGCTTATCACCTGTGTTGGCTTTATGTTTTTGGTCAAACATTTGCTTGTTTCACATTTGCATTGATGTAATCAATAATATTTACTAATTTAATAAAAACAAAATTAATAATTTTCGAAAAAAAACAAACATATTTCTTGGGGGTGCTTTGGAAATCCTGGGGGGTGCTTCACCCCCTAGCTCCCCCCTGGCGCCGCCCCTGTGTTATTGTGACCCATCATAACTCAGCTTTATGCACACACACATACATTTAGCATGGTTTAGGAAACAGGCTCCGTGTTACAGGACGGGTCGGGTCGTTCTGCGAGTCCGGGCGGGGGGGCAGAGACACACGTTCACTAAGCCAAAAAACTATATCCGGTCACAGAGATCTGCTATTTTAAAGTAAAGTCAACACATATCGACCCTAAATAAAGTCTATATTAAGAACGAGAAAAGTTTTAACATCATATTTTGTATATGACAAATGTGCGAGGGTGATGACGTCAAAGCATCGTCCTATGTGCCGGGACTTAACCCCAGACAGCCCCGGCCCAATTTAACCCCTGGATGTAACCAGATATATTAAAATAGCAAGTTCTGTAAAGCTGTTTTACTGTGTTTGACTAAAACCAAAACCATTTAATGGTAATTCCCTAACTACTGAATGATTTCCGCTTTGCTCTTCTTATCTTTCTCGGAAAATCCCTCATGTTGCTCAAAACGATGCATTTCCTCTCTCAGCACTTTGCCATTTTATGATGGTTTGTGATCAAGAAATAAAACGTACACTGCTGTTCAAATTAATGTAAGTCAATCCCTACCCTAGTGTCAGCTACATTTTTACTTGAAATGCTTATGTATGCAGTTTTTCATCTCTGGTCACTTTGATAAATCTAACCTATTAGAAGTGAAATGTTTAAGGAAACTCTAAATCCAGTGCCTTATTCTGTTCATCGTTTAACTGTGTTTCTGTCAGTTAAATCCAGTTTAAGTGTGAATCAAATTAAGATATTCATATGAATCATTTTATAATCATTAATCAATGCATGTCTTGTTGAAACAGATTTTAATGATCGGTCTTTATCCACATTTTAGACAACTACAGTGCCAAATCCAGAGTCTGCAGCCCGCAGCTCCCTGATCCCAGAGTCAGAAGTGGAGTCAGCGGAGTCGCTTCCTCTCTCTGATGAGCCCGCGGTTGCTGTCATCTCAGAGCAGGCGTCATCAGTAACACCCACAGAGATTTCCCCCGACCAGACCCCCGCAGAGACCAACCCAGGTGCCGTAGATATTGATCTCTGTCTGCCTGTTTCTCTGTCGACATTGCTTCACACTCCATTACACTCAGGCTTCTACTGATGGTTTGCTGTGTATCCTCTCCTCTTCAGATCCAGTAGTGCATTCAGTGGCAGCAGAGACAGAGGTCACCTCAACCTCTGAGGCAATAGCTGCACCTGTTGAAAGTGAGGACGCAAAACTAGCAGCAAAGGAGGTCTCCACTGCCGAGCCCACGGCAAGTTTAGAACCGGAGACGGTGGAGGCTGCTCCTTTAGAGGCTTCTCCGGTGGAGGATGCTCCAGTGGAAGGTACTGCAGTGGAGGCAGCTCCAGTACAGGTTGCTGAAGTAGAAGCTGCTCCAGAAGTGGTTTCTCCAGTAGAAGCTGTTCCTGTAGAGGCTGTTCCTGTAGAAGCTGCTCCAGAAGAAGGTGTTCCAGTAGAGGCTGTTCCAGAAGAAGCTGCTCCAGAAGAAGCTGCTCCACTAGAAGCTGTTCCAGTAGAAGCTGTTCCAGTAGAGGCTGTTCCAGTAGAGGCTGTTCCAGAAGAAGCTGTTCCGGTAGAGGCTGTTCCAGTAGAGGCTGTTCCTGTAGATGCTGTTCCTGTAGAGGCTGTTCCAGAAGAAGCTGTTCCGGTAGAGGCTATTCCGGTAGAGGCTATTCCGGTAGAGGCTGTTCCGGTAGAGGCTATTCCGCTAGAGGCTGTTCCGGTAGAGGCTGTTCCAGTAGAAGCTGCTCCAGTAGAAGCTGTCGCAGCTGAATATGTCCCTTCTTCTGAAGAACCACCCGCTCTAATTCCCTTAGATTACCCAGCAGGTACAACCAGAACATTCACCAATTTGTTGTAAACTTCCAAGAGTTTGCTGAGAACTTTCTAAAAGTTATTACTATAAATCAAGTATGAAGTCACAGTAGCTTAGTAGCATAAAGGTGGAACACATCAGTTCATGTCCCTGCTGCTAACCTGTGTTGTTTATTGACTTATTTGCAGTGCCAGTTCTCGAATCAGCTGAGCACGAACTCGCTGCTGAACCAGAGTTGGCCAACGCAACAGAAGCTGCTGCTGTAGAGGAGACACTCACACCAACACCTCCTCAGCATGAAGCAGACAACAGCAAAGGTACTGTGAACACACTGCACCACTGCTTGTTGGAAGGTTGGGCCTCAAATCAAATGTTGTTAATATGGCTCAATATCCCAAAGTACACATTTGTCTCTGGGGGCTTAACCAGGAGTACAGATCCATAAAACATGAAGGACAGAAAACATAAAATAACAACATAGATAATGCAAATGACTAGAAAGATCATGTAAACGTAAATAATTAAAGGGTAAAGAAGGATGGTCATGATAAACTTGAGCCAGCCCTGACAATAAGCGTTATCGTCTTAGCATGCTCTCAAATGTGGAGAGGGTGTCTACCTGAACACAACTTGGAGCTGGTTCCACAGGAGAGGAGCTTAATAGCGGAAGGCTGTGGTTATTAAACTTTGATCTACCTTACTCAAACACACACAGCTTCTCTTCTGAGAGTTACCTGAACTGAAGTCCCATCATCTCTTGGGTCTTGACATGTGATCATGCTATTGTCTCTTACATTTGAAATACAATTTCGAAAAAACATCAAGTTCGACATATTGAGGCCAACAAATATACCTTGAGAAGTATCTGATGTAATGCTATCAAGGTCACTCTTTGGGCCTTTGCAGTTTATTACTTAAAAAAAGTCCTGGACATGACTAGACGGCCAATGTATTTGAAGCGTGTATTCCTTAGAGACATTCACATGCTGCACAGCTCGTTTCTTTGCATGTCTATTTTTGGAGTATTTTACTATTAAAATAATTAGATTCCATTGCTGGCTGCAGAGGATTTTTTGCGTAAGACAAACACTTCAGATTCCTCCAAAGCATTGTAAAGTCAAAATGCATTGTAAAAAGTTGGATTCGATCTTTTCATGAGATGTTCTCATATTCAAACAAATTGACTTAAATCTTTGTTAGTTGGCATTTAGCCTTCAGTTCACTCTGCCAGTTGCTGTGCAGAAAGGGACAAAGGTTAATAACGTTTATAAAACAATCTATCTATTTTACTTGAGTTTTCCCTTCTTTTGAGTGTCAGAAATGGTGAAAAGACAGACATTTGAAGCTTCAGTGAGAAACTTATTAGAAGTTATGAATGTAAACAAATATATATATATATATATATACACACTAGCACTTTAGATTCGAAAAACTTCAAGGAGAATATGTCTGTATGATAATACTACTTCACTCATTTGTGTGATCACAGAAAGACACTGTGGCTTTGTATTTTCATCTTTTTGTGGGTAATGTAGACGTTTTATTTTATTCTACTGATAATTTTTTTGTCAGCCTGAACCAGTTTATCCATTAAATGTAAACATCTAATATTTCTGTGCTTGTGACTGATATGTTGTTGCATTTCTGCTGCTGTCCTCCAGGGGGCTCCAGCTTCAAGCCAGACCCTTCTCTATTGGACTTTGGCCAGTCCAGCCCGGAGGATGACGACCTGTACTCAACACGCACCTGAGAGACAGCCGGAGAAAGCTCGATATCACACACTGCCATCTCATTCTGATTAACAGACTCTGCGTCATTATGCATTATGTAAATAGGCCATTTTGCAAGCAAGCAGAGTTAGGAAGTGGTTATCGTTTCCTTCCTTATTTCTCTGGGCTATATAAATACATACTTTATTATTGTCACCCAAAATAATGTATATTTCCACAGAAAAGTCAGAGTACTTGTGGTTTACAGCAGCAAAGCAGCAATTCCTAGTGTACACGGAACTGAGTCCGTTTGCATAGAAGGAGAGAAGCATGGAAAAAATACACCCACGTTAAGTCTATTCCTCCACAGATGGCAGATTGTGTGTTCTCTCAGTATGTGTCATTTAACAATTATTGGCTTTTGTGCGACAGCTTTTACAATCATGAGTGTCACGGTGTTTTATTTATTGTAATTTAGCCCACTGCATTGGTATGCCGGAAACACTGCACATGTTCTGGTGATGATTACAGAGGGACGTTTGCTGTTCATTTTGTTCCATCAAAAAATGTCTTCAGTTGTTAAAAACCAAAAATAAATCTATATTTTCATGATTTGTTGTTGTGCTTTATCCACTGCTACACATCTACTTGTCAATATAAGTTAGTTTTGTTATTTATTGTCCTGCACAAACTGACAAACATCGGAAACAGTGTTAAATCATGTCAGAAAAACATTACTTTTTCTTTTCATACGCAAGCTCTGCAAATATAATCGGAAACAGAAAAGGTGCATTCCGACAATAATCTCCTTTACCCTCACCATATTTTTTTAATTATCCAAACCCTCAAAATAAAATGTCCTACTAAATTAAAGATATTTTCAAGTAAAAGTATCTCTAAATTATCTCTTAATAAACAGTTTGACAAGAGATTGATCCACCTCTTAAGCCCCAAGCCTGTTTTTCAGGTTTCAGGCTCGAAAATGACATTCCCAGAACAAATTACCATATCGTCCCTTCTAAAAGGGTTAAATTAATCATCTTTTTTCTCAAAGTAATGATAAACCTGTGAGTTGGATGTAGAAAAGTCAGAATCAATATATATGTTTTTTATTTTAATCAGACTGAACATGGTAAAAAACTGTAAATTATAGTGTCCGTCCAAAACATATTTTGTACTTATAGTGAAAACTAACCTTGGATGATGGGTAAGNTGTCCCCTAGGGGGCTCCGTAGGAAGTCACTCAAGTGTCACAAAGTCTTTTAGCCTATGGGTAGGTCAAAGATCTAATGGGTGCTGGCCATTGGCCTAAATTAGGCCAATGGCCAGCACCCATTAGATCTTTGACCTACCCATAGGCTAAAAGACTTTGTGACACTTGAGTGACTTCCTACGGAGCCCCCTAGGGGACATGGAGAAAAAAAAAAAAATGTTGTACAAGAAATAAATAAAAAAGTTTTGAGAGATATCGCAAAACCTTTGCGAGATCTCGCAAAACCCCTTTGCGAGATCTCGCAAAACCCCGTTGCAGTTTGTAGACGGTCCCTAAGAACTCCTCTCCCTCCTCCAGCTGCAGATTGTGACCAAATCTTGATGTGTAGCTCGGATGACGGCGCGTATCGAACTGTTCTGATAAAAACGACACTGTAGCTCGTTTTCTACCTTGCTATGATTGTAAAGTCATGTTGTTTGTATTTTTACAACGTTATTTTTTTTTTCAAATAATTTTTTTTTCCTACTCTGTGTGCCCTAAGGGGCTCCGTAACTTCCTGTTAGCTGGAGCGCCAAATTATTTGCTAACAGCAAAGTGACAAATGGATCGTTTTTTAGTCCTTAAACGTCCACGTGTGGACACTCAATCAAAACCACCTGGAAGCGAGAGGGATTCTGCACATAATAGGCCTCGTGAGCTTACTTCTGGCTCTCTGTGTTTCATTCAAGCTCTGCTTTGTGTGTGTGTGTGGCACGAGCCATTTTGTGTGCGTGCGCAAGCACCGGTGGGTCTCTACCGGAGATCGTTGTGGTTAGCATCTGGTGCTAGCTAGCCAAGCTAACGGATATAAGGAGCTTTTTCAACAACAAGGTGGAGGGAGAACTCTCTCCTGTCAGACTGAGAGTCTCA